GCGTGTTGAGAGGGTGAACTGGAACTCAGGCTCAAGTCCGTCAGACGACAAAGCCTAACTCTTAAGCAACTACGTTGCTTCCACCTCAGTGGCCCTCACAGTGGCTCGGCATCTACATGCAACAGCCATTTCATTGGGTCAAAGACGTGACAGGTAATAGAGCAGCTGTAGACCTAGACACGTCTGGTTCTGGGCCTCTCTCCTGGTCTAAGAGAAGGGACTGACGTAGAGTCATTCACACATTTGACATTTATGGACCTCTGGGATAAAGGGACAAAGTCCCCCTCGCTCTTCAGTCACACTCAGGCTGGCCAGGAGGTAATGACAATCCACCTCCAGCAGCGGTGGATGCATGGTGATAAAGACGCATCTAGGCAGAGCACCTAACCCAGCCCGGGAGGGGTCAGGAAGGCCTCCAGGGACAGGCAACACCATGCATGAGCCTTCCAGAACCCCAGAGAGGCAGCGAGTCAGGGGAAGAACATTCTGTGCAGAGAAAACAGCGCATGAAAGGCATGGAAGCGTGACCCCATGGGAGTCATAAAGCAGCTCCATGCGGATGACCGACGGGGTGCACGTGGGGCAGGGCTAAGAGGAGAGGAAAGGGGTGGGGGCAGGGTCCACATCATGAGGGGCCTCACAGAAAGGTTCCGATTTATCCTGAAGACAAGGAGGCACCTTGACAGGATTCTAAGCTAGAATCTTCAAGAAAGACCTCATTTGATTTCAGAGATCACTCTGGTCATGGTGGGGGCTGACTCCAGGGAAGGATGCTAGACTGGTGTCAGGGAGGCAGGTTATGGTGCTATTACACCACCAAGTCAGACAAAGAGGGCAGAGGCAGTAAATCCCAGGGAGAGTTAAGAGAGCAGAATGGACTGAGGCTGAGTGAGGAAGAGAGAGAGGTCTAGGATAGCGCCTACGTTCCTCATCTGGCAAACTGGCAGAGCTAATACCAAGACGGGAAGCGGATGTTGGCTTTAGATACGGTGACTCTGGGAGGAAGACGCCCAGCAGGCAGCAGCGTATGTGGGCCTGGAGCTCAGGAGGCCTGGGCTGAGACAGACGTTCAGAAGAAGGGCAACAGTGTGCAGGCGTTATGCCCTGAGAGCTACATCATTCCATGGGCACTGCAGCCCGGTGACACGTGCTGAGTGCCTGTGGGGTGCCAGGCACCTCACCCACGTTGTCTGATACGGTCCCTCAGCAACTCCGAGAAGGGCATCACCATCCTATTTTACAGGAGGGAAGACAGGATCAGAGAGGGTAAGTCACTCGCCAAGGTCTCAGGGCTGGTAAGTGGCCAAGCTGGAGTCCAGCCCAGGCCCCTGGTGCCAGGGCCCACTCTCCTGCCCTGCTGCCTCCCAACAGGCAGCACGCATGGCAGCATTTTATAGTCGCTCCTCTACAAAGACCCAAATTAACCAAATGGATTAAACCTCACTTTAAAACAATCTTCAAACTCTAAAGTACATAGATGAAGACCAGATAGTCAACCTCTATTTCCCCTAAAATATCCTGATTTTGGCAAAATTTGTATAATAGATAACTTTTAAAGGATGGGTTGATGTAAATGACCAACCCACACCAGCATCTGGTATCACCAAATGATGACCCCAGGTGTCACCAGCACTTAAAAGGCAACCGATTCCTTATCTGAGCAAACAAGGGTTTTATGAAACCTAACATCCTTAAAACCAACCCTGCGGCTGGTCTTGATCCCTCCAGGATTACAGAACTGTGCTTCTGGCATGTCTGCCCTGGCACAGCTCTCGCATACAACAGCAGCCCACAATGATTTATTCACCTCTCCTCTTCTCAACCGAAAGTTCAAACCTGGTGATCACGAAGCGGGACACTTTCTCCGACGCAAGTTCTTCACGAGCTCTGCCACAACATGTACTTTGCCTGTAATTTTACAATAACGGTCATAAAAGGATGATGAGGATAAGGAATAATTAAGTGCTCCATACACGTCCGTTTGAGCAACAGCCCAGGCAAGTCATGCTGTCCAAAGACCGGCTCGCCCAGGGCTCTCCTTAGGTCAAGGAAACAGAATGAGAGGGAGCCACACCAGCGCTCATGCACAGAGAGCCTTGCCAATTCATCAGAAGGAGGATTAACTTTCACAACAAAGACTAGAGCAGAACAGGAGGAATCTGAGAACAGACTGGTTCAGAGAGTGTGATGTCATTTATAGTCTCATGTATTAAGGGATACATACTAGCCTCAAGAACCTGGCCCGTCTCCCGAAGAGACATAACGCTTAGAGAGAAAGATTCCTGCCTTTGCATGTTCACAGCATCTAATCCCAAAGCCCTTTGGTTTCCAAGCCACACTCACAGACTCTGCCATTTACTGCAGTGGACGAGGTTCGTTCTGTCTCCCTATATCACAGGTCACTTCTTTGCAGACTTAAGGTAGTGGTACCTGCACTGCCCTGCTCTGCCCAGCTCACGAGGGCTGCTGCAATAATTAATAATAATAATAGATGCAAGCACAGTGCACACTGGGAACTCTGCACCTGTGAGCTACCATTATTCATGACACTGATATCAACATACTTCACGGCCATCGGGACCTAAACGTAGCCTATTTCTTTTACTAAAGATTTAAATCTACATTTTAAAACACAGTGGATAGTCTAAAATGCAGTCAGTCACTCTTATCTACTGAGGGATAAAACCATTCTAAAATCAGAGAAGACCTAAAGCCTCCAGACACACACGAAAAAATGACAACAGACCATAAAGAAAAATGTTCTCGAAAAAAAAGTTGCTTTTTGTTGGCTCAAATCAAAGATTTTTGTCCTCTCAAATCTTTTCAAATCTTGCAGGTGAGATAAAATGTTCCTGGTCCCAGGCAATATCTGAAAATTTTTCTTTTAATGTGATGCATTTCTTTTATAATAAAAATTTTCCTCCCGCGAACTTAATTCAGATGACTTTAGCATCTCTTTCTTGAGCGTCTTCTTTGCAGTATGCATTGCTAAGTACCACATGAGAGAGGGAGATTAGGAAAACACTCCACCTTTGATACCAGATACAATCTATCCAGGAGACTAAGATGAGCACACAAATTACTATAAGATGATAAAGGTCATAAGAAGGTCACAGGAAGGAGACAGCTGTAACTAGGGGATGGAGAAAGGCTTTCCAGAGGAGGAGAACTGGGAGAAGGAGCGGGGGAAGACCGATTCATGCCGAAGGCAGGGAGAAAAGCAGACACAGGCGCAGAGACGCAGACGACAGAGCATGTGTTCACGGACCACCCGGCGGTCCAGCTGGCGGACACTGGGGTAGACCAGTTTCAACACATTTGCTGCAACAGACAGTATGTGCTACTAAACAGACACAACAGAATAACTTTTTGTTAATTTATACAGTTGAAAATGAAGATGCAAACTCACGGAAGTGGGAAAAAGGAGTGAGTTTGAGGAAAGGTACAGCTGAAACCAGACTGACCCAATGTTAACATTCATAATTGCTGAAGCTGGGGGCTCATGCTCTCCATTTCTTTGTCTGTCTGAACCTTTCCATTAAAAATAGCTGACAAAGAAATGAAGGCCAGTCCATCTGGCGAGATGGTCAGCTGATGGCTTCTCAGCTGATGGTGCTAACCCTGCGAAGAACTTTCTAATCCCTGGGTCAGATGCAGGGAGAGGGCAGGCCGAGGTTGGGGCCCACTCCACAGGGGAAGTAGACACGCACACTGAGACAAAGGTCTGTCACCAGACCTGTTTTCAGTTCCCCTGCCTCCCGCTCCACACTTGTTTCTCCAATTCCCACGGGGAGGAAGGGAGAGCAGAGGTCTGCTACTAGGCAAGTGGGTGGTACATCAGCCTCAGAAAAAAGAAGGCGGCTGTGTTGTCCCAACACACTACTGACTGCGGGGGTTGTTTTTGGTCGTGTCACATTTCATACTTGTCATATCAAATGTAATACTTGTTAAATACTGGCTAGAAAATATTACTAAGCAAAGTGAAGAAATTTAAAAATCAACTGGGGCTTCCCCTCCACACACCAAGAGAAAAGCCCTCAGCATTTGGCATATCCTTGCCTCTGTCCATGCCTGTGCATACCATGCAGACAGGCACATGCTTCCTCTCCTCAGAGAAACAGGACCACAGGAAAATATTCTCGGGTAACATACTTTTAAATTTAAAAACTGTACTTCATGACATTTCATGAAACAGCATTTTAAACCAGTTTAAGGGCTGCATAATAGTCCATTAAGGAACATTTTGATCTGGTACTTCTAATCTTGGACAAGGGTTTAAATCACACAGTAGTGTTTAATGAAACATTATGATCTGAGAAGGCTCTCTCTCAATATGATTTAGAGTTCATATATACTAGTTCAGAACTGTGATGTGACAATTAAAGTAATTTGTCTTATTGGGGGAGAGGGGTGGTGTTAACATTCTTACCAGAGAAACAGTCCTATCTTTCTTTAGAAAGTACAGATTGTTGGGATTTTAGTTGTTTTCTTTGTTTTTAGGTTGTAAAAGTAATACACGAATGTTGCAGGGCAGGCAGACTATGGAATTACAAAAAGTAACAAGTGAAACTTCCCTGCCTTCTTTCCACCCCATTCCACTGCCCAGAACTGGCTACTGTCAATAGTTTGGTATGTCTGTCTTCCAAACATTTACAAGGATTATTTTAAATATGTGGAATAGGTAATCCCACCCCCACACAACTTAGGTACATATATAGATACACAAACATGCATACACTGGCTTCTCGCTATCCGAAAGTAGAGCGTTCCCATGGAACCTTTCGTAAGCAGAAATGGTGTAAAGTGAAGAAGCAATTACCATGAAATTATATGGGAAAATTTTTTGAGTGTTCCCAGACTCAAAAAATAACCTACCAAATCATACCAAATAACATGTAAAACCTAAAATAACAATAACATATCGTGAAGCAGGCATGATATGACAAATACACAGCCTACATAAAGTAGAAATAACATATGTACAGTGTAGTGTCACTTACCGGAATGGGGAAGACAGCGAGCACACTGGAAGGTTCACAGGTGGTGGTGGTGATGATGGTGTGTTAGGCTGAGTCGTCAGAGGCTGGAGTGATGGGAGGTACAGGAGACTGGGGTGGAGGAGAGAGAGGAAGAGGGTCATCTATTAACATCTCATGGTCACCTCAATCCATCAGGGCAGGCAGGTCACTAACGTCTACACCCTGTTCTATATCAGCTGGCATCCATGTCAAAGGTCGATTTCCTCATCGGCTGATGTGGAAGCTTGAAATACTTGACTGCTTGTATGCTTGACTGCTCAGCCTCTATAACGGCTCACTGCAAAACAAATGCTGAATGCTACCTTTGCTTTTTGCCTTTTTTCATAAAAGCGAAAATCCTCTTTGGATTTCCTTCAGTTAGCGAAAACAGGTACGTACTGACGTAGGTCTTTAGTAAAAGCAAAGTGGCATAAAGTGAACTTTCGGATAGCAGGAGACACCTGTACACATATGTGTACATACCCCCAATGTACATATACAGTTTATAATATTTACAGATATGATGAGGATTCTCCTTCCTTTTTTTTAGCATTTCCTTTGTCCCCGCCCCTGGAATCAGAATAGCTATTAGAGAGACTACTGATTTTTGCAGAACACTCCAAATTCACACACTTGGTTAGATGCAGGTCCATCCATCCCAGCATAATGCCTGAGATGGCTCCAGAGAGGCAGCTGAGCATAAAGACCCCCACTTCCCACACGGCTGTGTCCTCAAAACTTCGACATACTTGGCCTTCCATTAAACAACTGACTGTGGATTCTTCTTCATTTGATTCCAAATCTTTTGCAGTTGCTACTTCCAGCTATCTTGGAGTATCAAGTCCTTGATATTCAGGCATAAAGTCCTGAAGAACTTCCTTTTCCATGAGACTACCTCCTTGAAGCCTGGCTCCTGTTCTGACATTCTAGGACAGGGGTCTACAACCTCCGGCCTAGCACCTGCTGTGTAAATAAAGTTTTATGGGGACCCAGCTGTGCCCATTCGTTTGCATATTGCCTGTGGCTGCTTTCACACTGCAAGAGCAAAGCTGAGTGTTGTAACAGAGATGGCACAGCCCACAAAGCCTAACATACTTACTTCTGTCCCTTGACAGAAAAGTGTGCTGACCCATGTTCCGGGATGTGGTGAAGACAGTTTTTTCCCTATCAACAGTTTTGGAGGACTTGAATCATACCTCCCATATCCAGTGTTTTTGTCCAGGCTAAAGAGTTTGCTTTCGATTAAAACACAAACAAAAAGCACCCTGGCTCTGACAATAGCAACGGTTTGCTGGTAAATGTTTAACAACTTGCTCTTCAGGGGGGGAAAAAAAGGCCCTGATTTGTAGCATTTGCCTATTTCCATGGTATAAATAGTCCCATAATGGCATATTTCAAGTTAAAAGAAGCAATGCCAGTGAACAAGGAATTGGGAAGAGATGTGCACAAACGCTAATGCAAACCAGCTCCAGCAAACCACTGGCTCCTTGGGACGCCTGCAGTGTCCCCATTGGGACATCAATGGCCCAATCCCTCACTTTAAAGACAAGACACCAAGGCCCAGAGGCAGAAAGTGTCTTGCCCAAGACTGGGCCAGCGGCTGGGACGAGGCTGGAGCATATTTCTCTGTACAGAGTCTGGCTGTAACGGGGAGGCACTTCCTCCATAAAGGGAAGAGTGGAGAGAGGACGGCAAATGAAGTTCTCTGCCAGGCACGTGGTAATAAAGGTTGGTTTCATCACTACCTTCACACTTTGGCACTCTGGCTCCCTGAGTGGTGCTCAGGGAGCTCTGAAGCCCACGTTTGCCTGGGGTATTGTTCTTCACGTAGGGCCATGTTGCACAGGAACATGCCGACAGTGCACTGTCTCAATCAACCAGCAGTTACTTAAGCTCCCGGACTCTAAGCTCCAGAAAGACAGGGACTGTATCTCACCAATCTGTGCTCACTACCTTCCCCAATGTCCAGTACAGACCTGGGCACTCGGTAAGCACGTGGTCAGTAATACCGACCGCAGGGACGAAGGAACAAGGCCTCACCACCAAAGTGGAGTTCTACACAAAGAACACGGCAAGTGCTCAGAGGGTGGATCCCTCCCCTTCTCCCATCTGTGGACAGTGCAACAACAGATGCGACACGCTCGTGTGCTTGCACCATTTCTAAAGTATCGCGCAGCATCCGAGCTGCTTCATCAGAGTACCTGAGGCTCTGTGGATGGAGGAACAAAAGGGAAGACAGAGCCAGAGTATTATTTTCCTTTGGGGTATATATGCATGTAATTTCTATCTGGAACCTGTGCTGACAGAGCATGAAGCCAAGGAAACAATCCAGTGAGGGATCCCACCTACCACATGCCAAGAGGCAGGACATTGCTTTCTGGCAGGGGCTGAGGAAGGGCCACTCACAGTGACAAACCTCTGAAAGTGGAAAGTGAAAGAGCACCAAGATTGGGGAATCATATTCCAATAAGCTCAAAGCTGCAAGACTACAAACAGAAATGAACACGAGGAAAGCAGGGCAAAAGCACGCCTCTCTGTTCTTTGGGAGATAACTTCTTGACTACTTAGTAACTCTCACCCAAACCTCTACACACTTGGCACAGGCTCCCCGTGGGTTCTTCTGTGAACCCTCAGGTCCCGTATGCCACATCACTGCTACAATCTGCACGCACAGACAGGTCAGCTCTGCAGGCACAGAAACAACCAAGCCTTGCCGAGCTTTCAGGAGGCCAGCAGGGCTCATGTTCACTTATGTGGGGATCCAGTACCTGGTTTGCAAATGAGGTCAGGCTTGGTCCCAAATACCAGAGGTTAACACTGTCCATGCCACAGGGTGGTGTGTGTTTCCATTCAGAGAAAGGATCACAAACAAGAAGCAGGCCCACTGATTTAAGCCTCCAAAGCATTTCCCACACCAGTGGTTCTCAAAGTGTGGGGCAGGGGACTCCAGAGATCCACAGGGTCAAAACCACCTTCATAATCAAACCAAGATGCTATCTGCCTTTTTCACCCTCACGTTTTCAGGAGTATACAGTGGAATTTTCCAGAGGCTACATGACATGCAATATTGCAACAGACTGAAAGCAGAAGCAGATATAAGAATCCAGTTGCTTTCCATTAAACCTGACATTAAAGGGATTTGCAAAAATATAAAACAATGCCACTTTTCTCAGTAACATCCTGTTTTGGAAAATATGATTATTTTCATAAACATATGTTATGTTAGGTCCACTATTTTTAAAAGAATTATGAAATATAGTAAAAATTTCTCACTTTTACTTATATAACATAAATATGGAAAGATGTAACCCACATAAACAAAAGTTCCTTACTATACTAATTTTTAAGAGTGCAAAGGGGTTTCTGAGCCCCCCAAAAGTTTGAGAATTGTCCTAGAGGCTGCTCCCCCCCAACTCTCCACCCCCACATGCCCCCCTCCCCCGGCAACACACACCCAGGGAAGGAGGCTTATGTATGTTACAAGAAGGAAGATGTGTCATTCTGATGTGCTGGCTGAGTTAGGAAAGGCACCCCATGCTCCCTCCCGGATCTCTGAATCAATTAGGGTGGGCTCTGTGCCCAACCTTTCCACCCAGGGGTCTCTTCCCCTCACCCCATTTTCCCTTTATCACTTGGTGTGGATTCTCCAATCTGCGGGCTCCTCAGTGAGGATTTCCCTATGTGGCCCGCCCGGGCTTGGTGAGGACTCCCTGGTGTGGCCCGCACACTTTCCTGGGGTGAGGACTTCCCAGCGTGGCCCGCACACTCTCCTGGGGTGAGGGCTCTCCGGCGTGCCCAGCACACCCTCCTCGGGTGAGGACTTGCTGGCGTGGCCTGCACACCCTTCTGGAGTGAGCACTCCCCCGCATGGCCCGCACACCCTCCTGGGGTGAGGGCTCCCCGGTGCGGCCCGCACACCCTCCGAGTGAGGACTCTCCGGACGGCCCGCACACCCTCCGAGTGAGGACTCTCCGGACGGCCCGCACACCCTCCGAGTGAGG